TGAGTTAATATATATTATCAATAAAATTTTAAATTATATGAAACTGCAACATATATATATTTATATGTAGATATAAAATTGAATCAATTATATACCTTACATTTTTCAAATATAACAACAATTTTCTTTTAAAATTTATCCGTGTTGTTCAAAATTCATTTTATAAAATTAATTAGTTGAACGTTGTTACTCCTCTAATGATATATTTTCCATAAAAATAGCATTCTATTCAAAATTTCAAAAGTTTACAACCAACTTATTATAAATCATATTTTATCATATTTAATTAGTTTAAAAAGTTATAAATTTAAAATCACATGTTAAACAAATGCATGCAAAAAATAATTTTGTTAAAAAAATATAAAAATTAAACTAAATGTTTCAGCAAAAAATAAACATAATGGCAAAATACCTCAAACATCTCTTAAATAGTATAGTGGGTAAATAAAAAATATATTTTAACGATAAAAATAAAAAAATAAAAAATATTTATGGAACAAAGTGCAAAAGGGAAAAAATATAAAATATTTCCGGATGAAGACTGCACTTTACTCTTCTTATATTTGCTTTCAGTTTTCTTTTAATCTAATCTCTCACTCCTTGCGTCTCTTCTCGTCCAGCCCCTTTTCTCCACTTCCTCGTTTTCATTTTTCACCTATCTTCGCTTTACCTACGATCTCAGTTTCGTTGAGTAAGGGCAATTGCCCACACTGAAAATGACGTAGGTCCGTCTCTGACGGAAGACTTGGGAGAGTCTTCAGGTTCGAATCCTCATGTTCTCTCCACTACACAGAACACGTGCACGCTGGCTACTAGACTCAGGAACAACTTATAGGATGTGTTTGAATTAAAAAATTTACAATTGAGTTTAGGATTCAACTAAGATTAGCAAATTGAGGTTAGAAAAAAAGTTAGTTAATATAATGTGATTTATATATGGATGTCTTTTTTTAAAAGTCCGTTAGATAAACATAACTTTGTTTGAATGATTTGATTCAAAAGTTAGTTAAGATATTTAATAATAAAAATAAACATAATTTTTTTGTATGTATATTTTTTATTAATTTAAAAGTAAAAAATAATAAATTTACAATTACAATTAATAAGTAAAAAAATCTTAAATATTCAATAATAAAAAGCTAAAATAAATTCATAAATTACAAAATATTTAATTGATATGATCTACAAATTAATCTCATGGTATTGTTTTATGATAATTGAAATTTATTAGAAAATTATTTGAAAGAGAATTTACCAAAATGAGCTAAGTTTTAAGTATATAATACCTAGTCATGATTTTTTTTAAAAGAAAAATAATTGGGTTGTGGTAATAGTAATAGTAATAAGGTTAAGTAGGATTAAAAAATATTTTGTTTTCCCACTAAAAAGATTTTTAATCATCTAAATATTGAGAGTTATGTTTACAAGTGAAGTTTACTCCTTTGGATTTTATGGGAGCATTAAGAAATGATAGCAAATTATGAAGAGATGATTTGATTATTTATGAAATCATGAAATATTATTTTTGAAATTATGTGAGAATTATATACTAAAAAAAGAAAATTAAGAAAAGAACATTTAACAAGAAGAAGTGGAAAAATGGCAGGACCCAGCCCCCTTCACCTTCCCATTTTCATTTCATTATTCCCATAGCCTCATCTTCGAGCATGTGTTAGCTTTGTCCTTTCATTAGGAGCTTTCAAGATCTTCTATGTTTCATTTCGACGGAGGAGGTGCAGGACAGGAGCCACACTTCGAAGTAGGGACAGCAGCACTGCAACTCAGTGTGAGCAACACACACGGTGGAGATCGAGTGTCGGTGGTGGTGACTGTGATCTCTCATCAGATTCGGTAGACTTGGGAGAGTGATGGGCAAGCCGGAGCAACCATGGGAACGGCAATGAAGAAGGAGGCTTGAGACAACATGGCTGGGGTAGATCCTTAGATAGCAGATAAAGAAGAGAGAGAATAAAAATTCAAAAAGCATTTAAGCTCTCAACAGTCATCTACCCAACGCACTATTGATGAAAAAGCCAGATGAATGAACTTTGTTAAAAACACTGGTTGGGATCCTAACTATGGTTGATTTTTTTTTTTTTATCCAAACATGATAAATTCAACGTTTAACATCCCAACTTAAGTTAGAGCTATCCCAACAAGTTAGGATTCAATCCAAACATGCACATAACGTAGTTTGTAATGTAGTCTGTAACTGATAATGGACCAAAGATGACGGGATTTCAAAATGTTGGGCACCTTAAATATCTTCGGGTCCAACACGAGTGCGGAGTGTTTGAGAATTAACATGAATGTATTGCGCTTCCTAAATTGTTGCGTTTATGGTTTTTATGTTTTCCGTATTTTTAGTTTTAGTCTTCGAGTTCCATTTTTTCTGTTTTGTTCTAGTTCATGTTTCTTGGGCCGCATATATTATACGTTGTTAGCCCAGTTGTACGTTTAGCCCAAGTGGCTTGTTCGATTCAAAGTGTTTTCAGACAAGTTAGTTTTCCATTACTTTAAAGGAAGAGTATGTTCATATGAGATATATATATATGTATGTATGTATGTATGTATGTATGTATTTATTTTGTCCCACAAACTATTTTTTCTACTTCCGTGACCACTTGTATGATTAAAATAATTACCGAATTAGGGAAGACACACAAAAGGGACAAGCATGGATGCAGGGAAAAACCACTCGAGAGCATCATCTTTTCGCAAGAGTTGCATGTGTTGAAGTGGGTGTTCCAGAGTTGGCGTATCAGAACTAATGATATGACTAATTGACTATAATTATTTTATTTTGGTTAGCAGCAAAGAGTTATTCCTAATTCCCTATCATTTCATTACGTGAAGTTAGGAGAGAACAAATGAGAATCACAATTCTGAAAATATTAACCTAATGATGATAGTTAGGATCTCCAATAAATTTTTCTAAAAGATAGATTGCAGTTATTGATCTAGACTGTTGTCAATTAAAAAATTTTAAATGTATCTGAATTGCTCATTAAAATTACTTTTTTGTTGACATAAAACACCCACTATTTTGGGTTCATTTCACATCAAGCTAAAAAAATTTGGGAGAATAGCATCCAAGAACTTGCCAAAAAATTTATCCTTAGATAAGAACTAATAAGAAGTCTCAATTGAAAAAAAAAAAAGTCAATATTTTTATTTTAATAATAAATTTAGTATTTGTTCTCATCTGCAAATAAATTTCTTGCCATGTTTTTAGATATAATTTCCTCAAAGAACTTTAACAAGAGCGCATGTGAGTCCAAGTCAAGTTAAGTCGGGATCTTTTTGGGTGAAAATTCTACTAATAATAATATTGCATTTTCAAAATTCAAACTCTAAATCTCTTGTTGAGTTAGTATTACTCTTTTGCTAGCTAGTTGAACGAAGCATATGTTAGTATTATTGATTTAAGAAATTATTAAATTCCTGATAATTTTGGAGGGAAAAGAGGGTGGGGTAGTCTCGGATAAAAAGAAAAGTCAGATAGACTGAGATAAGGAAAGTAAAGTAGTGAGTCACAAAGATAGTTGAGAGACCCGCCACTACCATTGTCGTCCATGAAAGAGACAACCCAACAGCCGTCCCTTGTGATCTATCATGATCAGAGACCCGAATCCTCTTTCTCCCTCTCTTTTCACATACTTTCACAAGAATCTAGTATCCATACACTTGCATGATGTATGTATATGAATGTATGATTTTTAATATGAAACTAAACGCCCACGTATTACATTAATATTGCAAGTGCGAAAAAATGGAGTAGTAAATAGCAAAAAGATTTTGACAAGGGTGAGCTATCAACCATGAATTAGCATCTTATCTTGATTGTTAAGTTCAAATATAAGTGAATTTAAACCAATGTATTGAGTTTGAAAACTAATATATAATAAAAAAAAATAGACACAAACTTAAACTGAGTTTGGGATAAGAAGTAGTATCATTTCACTGTTCTTTGCTCATTTATTATTTTTCCTCATTTTCTGGTGATCGCTTCTCATTCTTAATATTGATATAATTATATAATGTTTGTACCATGCACTGGATCAATTATGAGCTACTACTCCAGTCGTTTTTAATAGGCACATTCTAAAAGAAATAAATATTCTTTATTAATTACAAGTAACTTAAAAGGTATTAATTAAGTTTTTTTAAAAAATATTTCTCCTATATATGATAAAAGATCAAACCTACACGTTGTTTTTTTTTTTCATTTTTTTGATTTGTTAATGAGTCTACTTCCTTTTTTTTTTAAGAGAATTAATCTGTTTTCTTTTCATATGAATGATATTTGGCTAAATTTTTATTTTGAGCTACATGACTTTCATTCATTTTATTTCAACTAATTTTGGGAGCCTAATCTAAACCCTCCATTTTGGGATAAATTGTATTGTTAATGACCTTTTAACTAATTTGTCTGCATTTATTATATGGATTTGGGAGCACTGTTTTAATTTGGAATGAGATGAGATATTCCTTGTACTAAAAAAAAAAAATCCTTTATTTGATTCATAATGTAAGAAAGTGCCACGACAGGACACAATAATTGGCTCCAAAGCTAGCTACCACTGTCGGTGCAGTTGAATCGGTCCAAGTCGTCTTCTTAAGTCTTAACAATTAATCCCTCGTCTCTGAGATATGAACAACCTTTTTTAAAAAAAAATCTGTATATCATTTATTTTTATACAAATATATATAATTTTTTTAATTTTTAATTCTAATTATCAATGTATTTTATAATAATTGAGAGATAAATTTATTCAAGAATATATTTTAATAAAGAAGGGGGTAAAATAGAAAAAACAAATGTTTATATGTAGGCTAAGTTGTTTATATTTTAGATGAAAGGAGTAAAGGTGAAAGTTGACTCTTATTCCTCCTTGAGTCTTCCCATTGGCATCTAGACAATGTGCCTTTAAAAGCTATACAATTAGCTGCCATAGCACAAAAGCATTCCTTTTCCTTTTCTTTTTCTTCTTCCCGAGAAAGTAATCACGATGGTGCTGAAGCAGCTGTTCCTTGTTATACTGTTAGCAGCAGCCGCCATGGCAGCAGCTCATGAAGCTCTATCCCTTGATGGATGTCCCGACAAGTGCGGAGATGCGGACATTCCATATCCGTTTGGTGTCGGGGTACAACGTGGTACTTCTCGAAACTGTTTCTTGGATCACTCGTTCAATCTCACTTGCAACAGCTCCTCGTCCACGTTATACTTCGAAAACTACCCAGTTTCTAACATATCCCTCCAACAAGGTCAAATGGACATTTTGACGCCTGTCTCCAAGCAGTGTAACGGAGATTACAATGATTCCTATACTAATCTTTACACCAAAGATTTCACCATTTCCAGCACCCGAAACAAGTTCGTAACTGTTGGCTGCGACGCTTTGAGCTTCATTGAATTCACCAACAACAACAACTTCCATTGTAACAGCGGCTGCGTGTCGTTATGTGACGAACTGCAATCTCATCAAAACAAGACTAACGATGGAACTTGTTCGGGGATTGGGTGTTGCCAATTGAATATTCCTGTGGGATTCAATAGCATCAGTTTGGGTGCATCTTTTCGCGCATTCGAAAGTACCCCGGTGTCGCCAGTCAACAACTGTACTTATGCTTTTGTTGTCAAAGATGATGGGTTTAACTTCTCCTTTAATTATCTGGATAACTTTCCCAATGATAGCGTCCCACTCGTCCTAAATTGGAGTGTGTCAAATGGTACGTGTCAAACTGCTTCTACTAACTATACCACAGACTATGCCTGCAAAAACAACACAGATTGTGTGAATTCTACCGACGGAATTGGGTACAATTGCAAATGCAAACCTGGCTTTCAAGGAAATCCATACCATCCACACGGATGTTACGGTAATTCCATATGTAATTCCAATATTTCTTTTATGACCATTTTCTCTTAATTATACTCTCTCTTATCCTATTTTATAAGATATTTTTATGGGTGGTTTGACATTTTAAAATATAAGATGTTTGAAGGGTTAACAATCATTCGATTTAATAAAACGACTGTTAGAGAATTTGCCATATCTAAAATATTAAAAAAGTATTAATTTTTAAATTTTAGAAAGGAACAGTGTATGTGAGGACTATTTTAATAATGAGGATAAATTGTATTGAATTTTTTTTGAAGAGGAACATATTTTGATAGTTTTTAAATATCAATGAAATTTAACTGCTGTTATTGAGACACTCATTGAGTGAGTGAACATCACTCACCAAATCCAAATTAATAATTATTAATCTAATATTACCATTCTTCATTATTTCACACTCAAATAAAATTTTCCTTCTCTTATTAATAAAATATATTTTTAAAAGTTTATAACAAAATTAAAATCATAAAATGTATTTAATAAACTATACTATTGATATATGTAACTTTGTCAAAAAAAAATGTCTTTAAATTGGGAGAGAAGGAGTTTATAAAACACTTTTAAAATTAATTCAGTATCTTAAAATATAAGACAAAAATAAGGTTTCATTAATTATTACTTATTATAATATTACCTTCCCTCTTTATTATGTTCTCTCTGTTTAATGTTTTACAAATAAAATTATATTAAATATAGGATATTTTTAAAAATTTATATTTATACTTAAAAAAATAAGATTACAATATATAATTATTAATAAAATTTATTAATATGCATAATTTATTAAATACTAAAATATATTGATCCCCCTCAATTTTGCTAAAATTACATAAACCTCTTGTTTATTTTTAAAACCTACACTTCATTTCAATCATTGACACCATTAGAAATATTTCTTAAATATTCTAAAATATTTAATTTTTTTATTGATAATTTTGTCATCTCTCCCAATTTTTTTGAAAAAAATTTAAATAATTAAGATTGTTAATATTTAAATAAATAATTTAATTTTTTTTAATATTAATGATATTAAAAAACATAAACATAAACATAAATCATATTGAGCAATTTATTATGTTAAATTCTTATTTCATAATTTTCTTATAAAAATATTTTTTAAATATTTTGAATTAATTGTTTGAATATTATTTTAACTAATTTATGTATTTAATTTTAAAAAAATACTAGATAAATACATTTACATAATAAAATTTTTAAAATATAAATGAAAAAGTAAAAAAATATATGCTTTAAATTTTTTTGGGAAATTTGAATTATTTTTTGACAATATATATTTAAATGGGGGTATTTTGGTCAAATATATGTATCCTAACGGTCAACTAAAAATAAAACATTAAAAATAGAAAAAATATTTGTATTTTGTAATTATTCATACTACAGGAGGTTTATATAGGTTTTAACAGTAAAGAAAATATCACAAAAATATCACATATAAGTTCCACACAAGAAAATTAATTACTATAAGGTCCATTAATAATTGAATTAAGACCATTGAATGTTGCCAATGGCTCTAATTCAATTATTATTAATTGATCTTGTAATAATTAATTTTTTATGTGAAACTTTAATGTAATTCTCTTAAAAATAAAAGAGAGATATCTATAATTAAGATAAAATGGAAGGAAATAGTTACTTTCCCTCACATTGCACCTCAAAATACCATTGAAAGTTGCACTATTTACAACTCTTTATGAAAAATTCCACTTCTACTAACTTTTACTTCCTTTAATCCTATTTATAAATTACTTCTAATATGTTTTATTGGAATTAAGAAAGACTTTAAATTTCATTAATTCTGTTTTAAAATTTAATAAATTTTCACTTCTACTCCTATTAGAGCAAAAATAATTATTATTAATAATTTTTAATGAGGGAAAAAAAGTAAAATTGAACATAAAAAATAGTGAAGGACCCTATAAATTGTAGGACCAAAATTAATCTTCTCTCCATAATATAAATAGGATTTGGGGAGTATTTATATTCGCCCATCGATATTATTTATTTATTATTAATACTGATACTCTTTTCTTAATTTCAGATGTTAATGAGTGCGAAACCATCAATGAATGCACTATGCCAAATCAATGCCACAATTATGATGGTAACTATAGTTGTTCTTGTCCACATGGATACAAAGGTGACGGCTACAAAAATGGAACAGGCTGCACTCCATCATATATCTTTATTCTTATTGCTTTAGGTGAGAATATCATCAACGACTCTGGCTCTACTGTTTTAGTTTTTAAAATTTTTTTGGGAATCAGTTATAACAAAAAAATTTCATCATGAAACACTTTTAACAATGCTGGCATACCTAGAAGTACTAATGTAGTCTCTGTCTGTTTGAGCTCCATATATCCCAATTATTTATTCTCATATTATTCAAAGCCCGGTTTTTATTATTAAAAGGATGATTCATAATGGATTTTGGATTAGAAGAGATAAGTATAAACAAACAGAAGATCATATAGTAATCTTTACTAAAAGTCAACAATATTCAAAAGATTTTCCCTCCTCAAAATCATATGTCAGACTACATTATATATTGCTTGCAGGTGTTAGTGTAGCTTTGTTGGTTGTCTTCACACTAATCTCCACATTATGTTGGGCACAAAAGCGAAGAACTTTGAAGCAAATCAGACGAAGAAATTTCGAGCAAAATGGAGGCAACATGTTGCTACAACAATTTTCACAACAACATAAGTACACTGAGAGGACCAAAATATTTACAGAAGTTGAGCTTAAGAATGTCACAAACAACTTTGATGAAGGCAGAATCCTTGGTCGTGGTGGACAAGGCATAGTTTATAAGGGCATATTACAGGACAACACTTCTATTGCCATTAAGAAGTCCAAACTAGGAGGGGATCCTAGACAAATTAAGGATTTTATCAATGAAGTATCTATACTTTCTCAAATTAATCATCGGAATGTGGTTAAACTTTTAGGATGTTGCCTTGAAACTGAAGTCCCTTTGTTAGTATATGAGTTTGTTGACAATGGCACTCTTCTTGATCACATTGATCCTTTGAAGAATGAGTTTTCTATTTCATGGGAGACTCGATTAAGGATAGCTGCAGAGACTGCTGAGGCTATTTCATATTTACACTCTTATGCTTCCATTCCAATTATTCATCGAGATATCAAATCTACTAACATACTTTTAGACCATAATCTCACAGCTAAGGTGTCTGATTTTGGAGCTTCAAGAATTGTTTCTCTTGATGAAACTCAAGTTACCACTATGATACAAGGAACTCTTGGATACTTGGATCCAGAATACCTCCAGACAGGTCAATTGAATGAGAAGAGTGATGTTTACAGCTTTGGAGTTGTGCTTGTGGAGCTACTCACGGGGGAAAAAGCAGTTCAATTTAGTAGGCCAGAACAAACAAATTTGACCATGTACTTTGTGTCTTCAATGAAAGAAGATCACCTGTGGGAAATTCTTGACAAACAAGTGTTAGATCAAAAGAATATAGGACAATTGAAGGAAGTAGTGTAACAGCCCTCCTGGGTCACCACTGCCTCTCCAGGGTCTTTTCCCAGGCGCTGGACAACACACATGTCACCACATGATTGCCGGCTTTCCCACTGGTGGTACAGTGGTTATTCCTCACCCCACCCTCACGGGGGTCTTTTGGAACCTCCCCAGACTCGAACCTCCAACCTCTACCACCTTAACAAAGTTGAGGCTAAGTCTGGTACCATTGGGTCAACTTGACTCAATGGTACCAGACTTAGCCTCAACTTTGTTAAGGTAGTAGAGGTTGGAGGTTCGAGTCTGGGGAGGTTCCAAAAGACCCCCGTGAGGGTGGGGTGAGGAATAACCACTGTACCACCAGTGGGAAAACCGGCAATCATGTGGTGACATGTGTGTTGTCCAGCGCCTGGGAAAAGACCCTGGAGAGGCAGTGGTGACCCAGGAGGGCTGTTACATAAAAGGCGCCTTTTATGTAACAGCCCTCCTGGGTCACCACTGCCTCTCCAGGGTCTTTTCCCAGGCGCTGGACACTTCCCTCTCACAAGGTAATGCCGGCTTTCACCCAGGTGGTACTGGGCTTATTCCTCACCCCACCCTCACGGGGGTCTTTTGGAACCTCCCCAGACTCGAACCTCCAACCTCTACCACCTTAACGAAGTTGAGGCGAAGTCTGGTACCATTGAGTCACTCAATGGTACCAGACTTAGCCTCAACTTTGTTAAGGTGGTAGAGGTTGGAGGTTCGAGTCTGGGGAGGTTCCAAAAGACCCCCGTGAGGGTGGGGTGAGGAATAACCACTGTACCACCAGTGGGAAAGCCGGCAATCATGTGGTGACATGTGTGTTGTCCAGCGCCTGGGAAAAGACCCTGGAGAGGCAGTGGTGACCCAGGAGGGCTGTTACATAAAAGGCGCCTTTTATGTAACAGTACGGAGCCACCCCTTGGGTCTCGACTCGGTACTGGACTCTGGCCCATCACTGGACTAAAGCCGACTTTCCCACAGGTGGTACTGTGGTTATTCCTCACCACTGCCTCTCCAGGGTCTTTTGGAACCTCCCCAGACTCGAACCTCCAACCTCTACCACCTTAATGAAGTTGAGGCGAAGTCTGGTACCATTGAACCAAGTTGGTTCAATGGTACCAGACTTCGCCTCAACTTCATTAAGGTGGTAGAGGTTGGAGGTTCGAGTCTGGGGAGGTTCCAAAAGACCCTGGAGAGGCAGTGGTGAGGAATAACCACAGTACCACCTGTGGGAAAGTCGGCTTTAGTCCAGTGATGGGCCAGAGTCCAGTACCGAGTGGAGACCCAAGGGGTGGCTCCGTACTGTTACAAGTAGCCTCATTAGCATTAAGGTGTATTAGAGTGAAAGGAGAGGAGAGGCCTACTATGAAGGAAGTAGCAAGGGAGCTATGTGGTCTGATGGCCATGGAAATACATCCTTGGGCGAAGGGTGAAAATCTTATGCCAGAAGAAAGTGAATACTTACTTGGCCATGTGCCTAATGTGGATGGAGAAATTGGTGCTAGTAGTTCAGCTTTCCATGATAGCATGCAAAAGGAGATAATTGCATTAGAGATTGCAGATGGACGATGATGATTAATTTGGTATCCATATAGGTTGTTTTTCTATCCTTATACTTTCGTAGTTTTTGCTTGTTGTATGTTTGAAGCACCTTTTGATAGATGTTGCGATTATGTATGTATTCAATTGGTTGGATTTCAAAGCATTATATAGTTGTTTAAGGTAATTTTTTGTTCACTCATACAAACTTGCTAGCTAGCTACACTATGTCAGCAAATAAAAATGTTTGTTGGTTTGGATGATTTGTCAAGCCTTTTTTGAATATTTTTAGAAAACCATAATTTTGATTTCATAATTGATCATTTGAACATGTAATAGTGGTGTTTTGATATATTTTTACAAAACCATGATCTTAACCTCTAAAATTGATTATTATTAAATTTGTATCCAAACAGGTACTCTGGGCCTGTTTGAATATTCATTAGAAAAAAATAATTATAAAAAAATTGATTAATAGATTGATTATATTATATGGTGTAATTGATTTATAAAATTGATTCTAAGCAAAATTGAAAATTAAATTAGGTAAAACCATGATTTTATGAAAACATATCCAAACACCCTATTACATGTCAAAATCAATTATAGATTCAAAATCAATTATGAACGCAAAATCATGATTTTCTTAAAAATATTCAAACACATCTATACATGCCAAAATCAATTACAAACTCAAAATTACAGCTATTTTATAAGCTTTTATTACCTTCTTTTCAATTCATATTTTTTAAAAAATTATCTAAAAATCATATAAACTATTCTATAAATCATGTTTTTGAGTTTGTAATTGATTTTGACATGTGCAAGGGTATTTGAATTAAAGAAAATTATAGTATTAAATTCTTAATTGATTTTCTGATGTATAATGGATATTTGAATATTTTTAAAAAACATGATTTTTATTTTATAATTAATTTTAACCTGTAATATGAGTTTATATATATATATATTCACGAAACCATGATGATTGTTCGTATCCAAACTGGCACAAGAGAAGGGTAAAAAAAACAGAAGAAGAAGAAAGAAACATTAATGATTTACTTCTTCCTCCACGTGTTGGAGGAAAGCGACTTGGTTTGTACAAATGACAATGGAATCTTCACCACCGTCACCGATGGGTTCGTCTCAAGTGTTAATTGCCTCCTCTGCCTCCTTCCCCACAACTTCTGCCCAGCTCTCTTTGTATCTTGTATGGATGATAAGTTATAAAAGGTACCATTTGACTCAAAATTTTAAATTTGAAGCTTATCTGATGATTGTTTAATATGATAGTTGCAGCCATGGCAGCACCTGAAAGCTGCCCTTACCTGTTGCGCCAACAAATGCGTAGATATAGACATTCCATAGGGTCATCAAATGGCGGCTCGGCTCAAACACCCAGAGGCAGAAGGTTGATCTAAAATATAAATTGCAGTAATTAATGCAGACTGTTGGCAATTTAAGAAATTTAAATGTAATTGAATTTCTCACTTAAATTACATTATCCTTTTTTTCATAAAACCCCCCAGCATATATTCTGGATTTGTTCCACGTCACGTTAAGAAAAACTTTAACAAGAACACATACTCTAGTTTGGGTCAGGCTGAGTTATGTCTTTTTGGGTGAAAGTTCTACCATATGGTATTGCATTTTCAAAATTCAAACTCTAAACTTCTGATTAAGTTGGTATTTATAATGATATTAGTTAATTAGAACCAAGAATCACTACTAGAAAAATCACTATATTTGAGGGTCACAAATGTCAAAATTTATGTCATTGACCGTCAATATTAGTTTTATCAACGCTTATGTGACCGTTAATAAGTGTTGAATAAAATATTGTCGAAAATAGTATTATCGACAATAAGTGACCGTGAATAAAAGTTTTATGTTTTTTTCATCAATAAGTGTCAAAAATTATCATACCAAATCAATATACAATTTTCGACGGCCACTAATAATGACGATTATAAAATATTTTTGACTTCTATAAATGAATACTTTCAATAACTATGACCGTCAATATTACATAAATAATAAATTTAATCTTTTTTCCAATTATAATATTTACTCCAAATATATTTAATATTATTATGTATGTCAATAGTTTCTTGATTAATGAAATTATATTATGAGTTAGCAAGAGTTCATTTCAAGAAAGAATATATCTAATTGAGTTCATTGTTTATATTTGTATAAACTTGAATCAACATTAAATGCTTTAATCAAAATTCTATTCCCAACAGAAAATATGTCAAAGACACAATCCAAAAATTGTCATATGAAACAAATATTGAGTCCAAGTCCCTGTAATATAGCTTTAAACAGGCTTATGACCAAATAGCTGAGGAATAAAGCTTTAGAGAAAAAGCATTGTTGACAAACAAATTAATATACTGGAGAAAATTTCTAGAGAAACAGCATTTACATTTTTTTCTTATCTTTATAATGATTAAAGACAAGGAAACAAGAAAAACTCTATCTCTAACTCTCTGAGCCCCTGGCCATTTCCAATCAATTTTCATTTAATTCTTAGCCCTACATTGAAATATTGACTGCACAAAAGTCTACTAATATACCATGGATCCTAATATCAAATTTGTACTTGTATAGGTGGAGCCTTTGACAAACATTGAAAGATACCAAGGGTTGTTTCGAAAGTTGAATTATCTAACAATCACTAATCTCTCCTTGATTGTAAGAGTAGTGAGTCAATTCTTGCAAAGCACCGCACTAGTCATTGCGAAGTAGTGCTATGTATCCTTGGATAAATTAAAGGATACCTAGCAAAGGTTAACCATATGAGGATCACATGTAAATCCAAGCAGTATGATATGCCGACACAAATTGGGATGATTATTAGAGGAAATCATGCTCTGTTTTTCATTTTGGAAAAGCAAGATATAAAATGTTTGAGGACGTTCTGGTAAAGAATTTAGATTTTCAACTAGTGAGAATCACAACATCGAATATATGGAATATATAATTATAGAATAAGGGCTGGATATGGCCAAGAAACAAATCATTACAGTACCTTTGCTTCCCCGCTTCTTCTTTAAAAACCAATCGACCTGTTGAATAAATGGAATCACAAAAATCTTATCGAAATGCACAAAGCCACCGTCACTTAAAACAAGCACAGTCAGAAACCAATGGAATAAATGAGAGAAGAATACCTTTGTGCTTCAAGTCAAGCAACATGAAAAAACTACTAACGTGTTTGCAGCTTTTAGGAGCAGTAACTGCACTATTAAGAATGGTGGGAAATAAAATAGTGCATTTGGCGGCAACTTCTAGTTTTTTTAAAATAAACATAAAATGAAAATACTTTATATCATTTTATAAAATGAAAGAAAAATAAAGCCCAGTTACCTCATCGTTGGGAGAAAAAAAGAACTGCTCCAGATTATTTCCTTCCTCACGCAACACCTTTGTCAAAAACCAATTCATAGTTTTGTTCGAAAATTAGCTAATCATGGAACAAGGCATTGCGATGGCCTCTTTTCTAAGAAAGAGCAAGAACCTAAACTGATTGGCTGAACTTAATTACCCTACCTCGAGTGACAGGGCGGTTGATCAAGGGATACCGAAAAGAGGCAAACAACAGAAGCTTGTAAATCATTGCGTGAACTTGTGTGGAATGAAAAAGAAGAAGCACCATCAGAATCGAAGAAGCAGCCCTTCCTTTGATGAGTTTAATGGGTTTTTCAAATATTAATTCCAAATATAATAATAATGTTTAATGTTTAATATTTTTTTGGAAGAGTTGTCAGTTTTTTATTAAAAAATACTCACTTTTAAAATATTATAGATTATGGATATAGATATAGATAATGAAAATTAGTATAGATTATAAGTAGATATTTAGATATATAGTTATTTTTTATTAATATGTTAAAAAATATTTATTAATTAGGAGTATCAATAACCGAAGAGATATCATGCGGATAGAGGAGTATCAATGAATATCTTTTTTTCAACATATTAATACTGAATAACTATATATCCAAACATCTATCAATAATCTATACTAAAAGTAAGTGTTTTCCTTTGATTAAAAAAGTGATAAATCTTCCAAAAAATGCTAATTGGAAAAAAATTTAAAATATTTCTCTCTCCAATTTTTTTATAAAACATTTTTATCAATTTTATTAATATCAAGAAAGTTTATTAAAAATAAAAGTTAACAAAAATTTATTAAATATTAATATTTTGACACCAAATAAAGAGGGTCAAAATAGTTGTTGAAAAAGCTTTCTTCCAGTAGCATTGAAAATATTATTTTAATCTTGACATGATACTTTGATGGTCATAATTATTTGTGGAAAATTCTATTATTTTTGACTTTAAGTTATGCCCGTCAATATTCTTAAGTTGAAAATACTGTATTTTGCTGTAGTGCATCTGGAGGTATTATTTATTTAAAAAAATTATTCAATTCCCGAAAATTTTGAGGGGAAGGAGGGGGTGGTGTAGTTTTCGGGGAAGGAAAGAGAAAAAATTCAAAGAGACAGAGAAGAGGGAAGTAAAGTAAGTCACAAACATAGAACATAGTTGAGAGACCCACCACTATACAATTGTCCTCAACAATGAATGATCTATTTTCACCAGAGACCTAAAAATCCTCTTTCTCCCCATCTTTCTCTTTTGATTCAGTTCCACAAGAATTCCATATATATATATATACACACACTTGCATTATATATATATGTGTGTGTGTGTGTATGTATATGTATGTATGTATGATTTTTAATATGAAACTAAACATACGTATTGCATTAATATTGCAGGTGTGAAAGTGGAGTGGTAAATGGCAAAAAGATTTTGACAATGGCAAGCTATGAACCATGAATTGACATCTTATCTTGATTGTTAAGTCCAAATGTAAGTGAATTTAAATCAATGTGTTAGGCTTACAAAATACATAACAAAGGAGAAAGACCTAGCACTTGAAATTTGAGATTTTGAGTCTAGAAGTATTATCCTTCTTTCTTTGACCATTTTTTTCACTCCCCTAAAACTATATAATTTTTGTACCAAGTACTAGAATAACTATGAGCTGCTGCTCATCCTAATAGGCACATTCTAGAAGCGTTAAATATTCCTTATAACATTTAGAAGATTTAAGTTTTTTTTTAATATTTCTCCCATTTAATTGATCTTTTTATTAAAAAAAAACTATATGACAGGGAACATAATGCAAAAATGTTCCATTTAAAC